CCCTCTTGCCCCTTCGAATCCGTCTGCTATCTCCCTGGTACATGTATTTCACTCGACCCCTGCCCCCCATATCTGTGCTATTCGATGCGTTATTTATCCATCCCTTGCACCTGGGCGATTAATTAGAGGCTAAAGCCTCAGAGTAAGTGCCATGGTCACGCCTTTGCTACATGGACCACATCTCTTATAAAACCTACTGTCAGCCAACTAGCTCCTATCGCCGCCTCGTCTCTATTCCTAATACCAAGTATATGACTTTTCATGCCCTAATTGCGTGTATGCCAACCCACAAACGTGGTTCAACATTGAATCTATACAAAGCCAGCAGTACTACAACATTTGTGGGTCGGCACACAAGCAATTAGGGCATGGCAAGTCATTGTCTACGAATTGCGAGACTCACTGACGATGCCGGCGAAACGTCTGGAAATGTACCACGTCCACGGTCCTACTCTGAAAATGATGATGCATACAATGGACTCCGGACTAAGTCCTTCTACCAATATGACCGAGTTGCGAAAACAAGGTCAAACAACTTCTATAGGTAGGTAAGTTTGAAGCCGGCTACTTTTCTTGCCTTTGTGTTTCTCGTGAATTATCGTTAAACATGGTGTCCTGCTCTGACGATGTCCGTGGAATGGCTGACGAAAGCTCAGCAAGAATTGATCGGTATTGTAGGACGGCGTACCGAGGACTTATTCGCGCAAATCTAAAATCACTATTTCAAGGTAATCCCTCTGCAGCTTATGGTGGAAACAACATACGAATCCCTTTCATTTTCCTCTTCAAGTGAAATGAAAGTTACTCCAACATCAATATATTAAATGATTCTTCGAAACCCAGTTTTCCTGCATATCTATGTTCTTCATAATTATTAAATGTCTATATTATCGATCTCTTTAGGTAAATTGCAGATATCAACTGTTTATTTATATTTAATGAAATGTTTTTATTACTAATTGCTACTTCTCACAGATACTTAAGAGGGCCGATGTCCCAATATAACCTGCCATTGCCAGTAAATAATTTGACACGGACAATCAGCCGAAAGGCTCGCGAACGAGAAGAAGAGAAGGCAGCAACTGGAGGCGGGGACATCTTCTTTATGCGTAGCCCTGTTGACCTTACTGGTTGCGATGGGGACATTGTACTTTTTGAATACTCTGAAGAATATCCTCCAATCATGATGCAGGTAACATTTTATAGTTATAGTCCATTTTTGACTTGTTGAACTGATGTCGAGTATGTCCAATATAAAATGTAAGGAAACTTGTTTTTTTTATAATTTCGTTTCATAGCAAAACTCTAAGTACAATTCGAAACGAAAGTGTATAGAACTTTCGCCATCGCTCCAATGGTATTTTAACTGTGAATATGATTTTTAAGAGAGTCTTTTTTAGCTACATCATCATAGCATTATATTCAAGGTAATTAAGCATTATCTAATCACCATGATCTATTTGATATTTCCTTTCGATAGTCAACAATATGCTTATGTTTTGGGTATCGTAAGCATATTTGTTATTTCTCCAACATGTAATCAATTAAAATTGTCCAAAATCAACAGCATTCTAGTATCTTCAAAACAATTTTTCTTAGTGCATGTATCAACATCAATGCATTTGTGGTGAATTAGGGAATT